CAAATTGTATTTTTATCTGTAATTTCACTTCATAATTCAATGAAAACATATTTGAGAAATTTAATTTTGTAAATAACAATTTAAAATAATCTGAGTGCTGATTACATTTAATTCCCCTGAATGAGCTGTGAGTCCAAAATAGAGAAGCGATCCGAAGCTAAATCTAACATTTGATTTTGATGTGACGTTAAGTTTTTGGTATGAAAATAAACTATATTTGTAAGCAGATAAAAGAAAGTGGGAGTGAATGACTTAAGAGATGATAAGACTGTTTTTATCTGCTGGCTCGTGACCGAGTCTCGTCATATTTGATTGTTTGTTTTGTGACCTTTCTTGAACAGGAACAACATGGGCTATAACATATTTCACTTAATTTATTGCTGCTTAAAAGGTCACATCTGTCACCTAAAACAATCATTTACTCTGGCAGTGTAATTTATGCCCCACTGGTTTAACCTCAACAGAAAAGCATCCCTTGTTTAGTGGAAACCTGCTGTTCTGGGGATCTCTGTAAATGATGCAATTTTAAAAGCAATCAGCCCAGTGAATTAGGGAGATTTAAACAACTGTTGTGGGGTCTGCAGCTAATTAACACTAAATCTAACTCTGATCCATTAACTCAGGATAATCTGTAAATTACCCGTCCAAGGTGAATTCTAACACAACCAGCTTGAGCACTGTCAGCTTTAGATAATGTCTCTACTTAAAGTCAACAGGGAACATTTCAAATTCTTGCGAAACAAGCCCTACAGAATGAAGCTCATTCAGTCATAGAAAATCCATATACAATTATAGTAAAGCATTAAAAAGCTGTAATTACTGGAGCCTAGACTGGTAATGTCATTCTCTTTCACAAACCATCAAAATGTAAATACAACAAGGATTGGTGTTTATTTACTATATGCAGGTCAGTTATGAGTAACCATTAAAGCCCATGTAATGAAAAAGCAGTGTTTGTCTTGCGCTCTGTGTCACTTCTGTGCAAACAACTCCTATGTTTTTACTTGTAGTATAAAACATTTAGTATCAGTCTCACTGCAGAATCTTATCAGGACACATTAGTCTCTGCTCATCTTTTATCTCAACTGGGATTACAGTGATTTCCTACAATGCTTCTGTGAGCTGCAGACAACACAGACACAAGATAACACAGCAGTGAGCATACAACTGAGTATCAGCCCAGTATTGTAATCATAGTCTGAGCTGATAGTGTTATTTTAAATGATGCAGTCACTTGATTGAGCTGATGAAGTCTTTCACAAAGGAAATCACCAGGACAGAGTGAGCTGTCTGTCACCCTTATCCGCCATCAACAAAAAGCACTTAGAGCCTGTTACTGAATGCCATCGGTGCAAAAGTGAACCTTCCCCAGCAGAGAGGTGGTTCTGAGCCTCGTCCTCCCCTGTGATTTCCCACAGTGGGGGAGGCCGGGAGAAAGGGTAGGTGTGCTAAATCGACAGAACTGGTAATAAATATCCCTGCTGGGAAAAAGTCTTTGGAGTATTTTTTTTCTACAGGTAAAAAAAGAAGGGAAAGTTAGGAAAGGCAATATATCAGCTTTAGAATGTGGGTCAGAAATATGGCGCTGTCTCCAAGAGAAATTACAAGTTCAAATCGTATTAGTTACCATAGTCTGTTTGTTGCTCCACAAATTGGCTTTGGGATTATGTTGCTATATGGATGGTGTAGTGAGGTAGCTGTATGTTTCTTAAGTGTTACCCCCAAAACGCTTACATGATATCCAGAGGGCCCATGAGGACACCAGTGTTCTCATGATAGCTAACCCAACAAAAACGTAATTGTCAGACATGTTGGTGAATTTAAATAAAGCTATCTTAGAAAGATGCAAAGACCGAACTTATGTCAAGTTCAAAACACGTGGAGATGACAATGTAGACACATTGTGAATGAACCAATTCGACTTCATTTAATGCATGTTACAAAAAACTTAAAAATTGAGTTTCGAGATGTGCGCTCATTCTATTGTTTTCATTCAGGCTTTAGGCTTGTCAGGTTTTTAAAATCATAAACTATTTTCCCACTACGTATAAATAATCCACATCCTAGTGTTTTTCCATCAAATAACACCCCAGTTAACTACATTAGCTGCTGTGGTTTAAATATGACAAAATGTGTAAATGCTAAATAGTTAAACAATATAACACTTCCAAGGCAGAGGAGATATCCTCCGTTTTCATCTCAGTGGTCTGATTTACAAAAACAAAAACAGAAGACGACAGCCTCACCAGCTGCATTGCTACTTTCTACTGCAAAGAGTAAATTGTAAATTTGTATCCAGAAAGAAGTTTTTTTTCACACAATATTTTTGCTGAGTTTACTCTTCTCATACATTTTTTCATTTTTTGATGAGTGGTTCACTTTTACTGTGCATTCATATTGGTCAAAGCACTTCTTCATTTGTTGAGCTGAGTCCTCCGAGAGGCATTCAGAGTCATGTTTTCCATTATAATGACATCATGTGGGAAAACGCATCAGAAGTTCTTCCGGGAGTTTTCTTTGTCTATTTTTCCAACCCTTTTCCTTATGTTGTGAAAAAAAATTACATCGCCATGAAGACTGAAACATGACAAAAGCTATTAATCACTACATGCTGTTATATACATGGTATTATCTTCATAATTATTAATACAAGTCATCAACCATAATTAGAGTGCTGAAATTGCTGTTGGAAAAAGTGTTGCACTAGATTTCAGAAGTGCAAATGCTGAATGTGTATCTTCTGTTAATTAAAAGCGACCACCCTAATTGCTTCTGTAATTAGGAAGCACTGCACTTTGGAAAAGAATGTAAAATAAAATCTGTGGACTACATGTATCTAAATGAACATTAATCAGTAGGTTCGGCTGAAGTCACTTCCAAAATACAAAAAAAGGGAAAAATAACATAAAAAGCACACAAACAAAAGCCTCATACTTCCAAAAAGAATCAGCATGGAATTTCAAAATACTAGAAAACATTTATTGATTGTAAAAGTGCGAATATTTGTGTTATCAGTATAGTTGTCTTCTTCTGAGGTTACAGAGATTTTATACTTTATGTTTGTGTATCTTGGGTTGTTTACATGCCTGTTTCCTAGTTTGTTTCAATTAAGTTTTCTTACAGATCTCTCTTTGCCTTTGGTTCTACTTTGCTAACCACATACATCACCTACATCTTGTCAGCAGTTATGCTTTTGTTTTTACTTTTACTTTTTTTTTCTTGTTCCAGTTTTGCCTGTGGTTACTTTCTTTTGCTTTGTTTAAACTTGTCCATTTTTTATCTTTGTGCATTTTGCTGCAAAATGAAAGTTTGATAATTTTTTAACTGCCTAAAACCAAAAAAAAAAAAAAAAAAAAAAAAAAAAAAAGGTCAGAGTACACATGGATAGCTCTAGGCAACACAGACGCACACAGAACAAATAACCATCTATGCGGTCACAAATAAAGCCAATTTAGAGTGGACAACTGAGCAAGCGCACATGTTTTGATGGAGGAAGCCGGAGTCCCCATGTGAAATTTATTGCAGTGTGAATAAATTTCACACTGCAAATCCTCACCCAGGATTCAGTGCAACATTTGACAGTATTGACCACAGGGCTAGTCTGTACTAACCGCTAAGCAGATTCTACCTATAGCGGAATAAAATAACACAATTCAGATAATCTAAAACCGGTCTCGAGGGACAGACACAAACTATTCCAGAGTTGGGCTGGGTTATGCACTTAAATTATTATACTGGATGAGGTTTTAACCTAAAATATGGATGAACGTGATTAATGTCTACCATAGAATAAGCAAAAAATAACTTGTGGGTTTTTAAACAAGTAACTTTCTGTAATGTTTTGTAATTTTAATTTAATCTAATTCTACATTAGATTATCAGATAAAAAAGTAAAAAACTTTTATCTAGCATTTTAATTATCACTATTGTCTGTCTATGTTGACTTTTTCACTAACTCTTTGGTCAAAAGGTGAATACTGAAGTTAGCTAGCCCAGTTGTTCACTTCAGTTGTTCTGGGTCTCATCTAATCTGTATCCCTGGAATCAGAACCAAACATGAAGCAGCAGGATTCAATTTGTATTCTCCAATAAATCAAGGCTGGAAATTCCTGATTTAAATGGAACTCAGCTTTTGTTTTTTGCTAAACTGAACCTGATTTTTAGTCTTTATTTTATATGCTTTTTGGAGATTTTGATGTTGGCATTTGAAATAATTTTATGTTTCTTACTTGTTTGTTATTTTATGTTTTAAATATTTTAAGCCGTAAAACACTTTAAATTAGCATGTTGCTAAAATATAATATACATATAATCGTGAATTGCCTAATGATATCAATAACACACATCATTTCAGAACTTTCTATCTTTCAAACGATGGTCTGTACAAAATAATGAGGATATTTTTCATCTAATATCTGACCAACAGCTTGTCTAAACAACATCTGTCTCAAAATGACTTGCTTTACTGAAACAAAGCAACAATTATCTTGGTGACGGATCATAATAATTTCCTGTCAAGTCATCGAGGTAAAATACAAGAGCGTGAAAAGCAATGTTCTAACCAGAAAGACTTTAATATAACTTGGAACTAAGTAGGGAGATCAAGACAGAGAAACTTTCCTCTCACTCCTCTCCTCTGAGCTGTCCTTGAATCAGGAACACGCCCCAGCTGCTTCACTGGAGCTGCACGGCAGCTCTTTACAGGGAGGAATGACTGGGAGACGTGGGCAGCTCCCTAGTGTGAATCTATACATATGTGAAGCAGCCCGTATCTGGGAATGAGGGAGTAGGCTTAGTATACCTCTTCAGAAGAAATCAATGTTTGAAAGAAAAGAAGAAGAAGAAAAAAAAAAAACATACGCACAGAAAGCTTCATTCAAAGCAACATATGTTAATGTTCTCTGGGCTCTTGGGGGAGATAAAAGGTTGATCCAGACCTTTTTATTGGAAACTGTGTGCGACATAAATCATGTACCAAGAAAATGGAAACAATAACTCACCTTTCGCTTTGCTTTTTGTCCCAGCCACTGATAGCATGAGGGGATAAAACAAGAAAACAATAAGTTAGATAGGTGGGATCAAGACTTTCTATTGATAGCATTGTGTGCTTTTTTTTTTTGCTGGTCTACTTTCCATAGTCAGAAAACAACATGACTGAATAGTAGAAACGGAAGCAGAAAATAGGGCTTAATTAATGTTAAATGAAACAATGAAATCATAGTTTACAAAAAGCCAAGAAACATAAATATTATCCCATTACTATTGCAAAAAACTCATAAATGGTCAGTTGCATTTTTTATTGTATATATGATAAAAACTAAATGAAGAAAAAGTTATAATCTACAAACATAAATACATTTAATCTACATGTGAATGGTGAATTAGGTTGTAGATTTTCTTACTCAAAGGGTGGAGAACTATTCACATAATATTGCAGTCAATTTGTCAAAGGGCTTATAAATGGAAAAATTCTGTTTTTGTGACAGCTTATACAATGCATGGGTTGCTGTATTATTGACCTCAGTGGATGGGGTACAAGAGAAAAAAAATTGCTTTTTCTACAGTCCAAACTGCAAAATTAGATTTTGCTAGAGAACATGACGGAAGCCTAATGAATATTGGGAGCACGTCCTTTACTATAATGAGAACAAGATAAATATGCTCAGCTCAGATTATTTGGCATGAACTTGACCTGGAATTCCTGGTCTAGGAAGTGAGGAACTCTTACCATAATTTAATAATACGAAGGTTGCAAAGTGCAAAAGCTTTTGGGACATGAAATTTAAAGACATCACCAAGAGCTCATGTGAATGTACTGAAATATGAGCTGACAAGATGACTTCCATTCTCCTGAAGCTTGAGAAAGGAAGAAAGTTCCAGCACAATAACAATTCAAAGCATACCACCGAAATCAGACAGGAGTTTCTAAAAAAGAAAGTAAAAGCTTTGACACCTTTTGGGTATTATGAAGTGGAAGTCGGAGAAACCTTCTTCCCTGCAGCAAAAAGAAGCTGAAGAGTTCTGTGAATAATGGTGGAACATGTCTGCAGAATTTTGTGTACAATTAGTGCATTCTTTGGTCATATGGGCTTGAATAAAAAAAAAAACTAAGCTGTCACAAAGAGTCAAAGTTAGATTTGCCAGCTTTTTTTTTTTGTAGAACTGAACACTTAAACTTTTTTTTGACAATCCTTTATTGTAGACTCATTTTATTTTATTGTGAAACAGAAGTTTTATTAAGAGATTATTGAGGAACTGAATAAACAATAGCTATCATGATTTTAATTTATCAATCAATGATTTGAATGCTCACTACTGTTAGACTATTTTAAACATGTCAAAATTTACTCCAATGCCCTCTTAAGCAAGCATTGGAGTAAATTTTTTACCTTTCTGTTAAGTGACATGTTTCTTAGTGTTTTTAGTATAAAACTGCAAAGTCTGAGGTAAAATGTAATTTACGAAGCAAATAAATTCAAATATTTTCCTCTTGCAAACAGTGCTTTATAACAGACGCTTTTTTACAGGAGCAATATGCTTTTTTGTCCAGAGCAGCAAGTTTGCCATTTGTGCTTCAGAAGCACTTTCTTGCTTGTTATGTAGGAATGGGCAACCCCCAGCGGTACGCACAATTCAAGAAAAATATAAACTGATGACGTACAAGTTGACGTCTGATTTGTTACTAATCCAAAAGGCTGCTTTGGTGATTTTGGATTGGATTTAACAATCACTACTACGCAACGTTGCGCATGTAGACAGATCAAACTTCCAGCGAATATTTCTAACTTTAATCAAGATTCTTTATAACACAGTTTGACACTTACAAAACTTTTGTTCTGTGGATTATTCCACTCTTATTACAATGATTTTAAACAAAACTTGTTTAAAAACACTTTGTGACAAAAAACACAATTTGTTAAAGAAAATGTTGAGATCATTATCAAATCAGTTTTACACAAATGACTTTTGCAGGGGGATTGGGAAAATAAGGGTTTACACCATTTTCTGGTTGCGAAAGCAAATTGAACTATTGATTTACTTTCACAAATCAATAGTGAAAGCAAATCACTATTGCTTTCAGTCATTTGCAACAGTCACTGTCAACCATTAACCAACGTTGATGGTTGCTCTATCAACCATCAACAATGGTGATGGAGCAACTGTTCCTTCGGTAAAAGAATTAATTAATTTGCTGCTCTACTAAATATATCACTGTTTTTTTTATGTTCATATATTTTTGATCATCAAAGTAGAAACATGAACAAATGAATGATAGGACAAACTCGTCAGTGTTATATTCAAATGTTTTCTTTCATTATATCTGAAAGAAAACATCAATAAAAGAGATCAGAGCAAGTCCCATAGGTTATACAACTCTGCATGTGATTTGGTCATACAGCTTTCTCTCAACTTTAAATCAGCAGACAATTCACATCCTCAGGTAGAAAATATCCTTAAATATGATGAAGATGAACATTGTCATTTAAATGGATAGGTAATTTTTAAACTGCTTTTTCAAATGCAAAAAAAAAATGTTCTTAGAAAGGTGTTGGATGAGGCATTAAGTTTAGTGCTTCAACTATTCAGTGCGTGTTTGAAACTAAGAGCTCTTTCATTCCAATCCAATGGGAAGAGCAAGCAGCCCTTCCTGCTGTGTCCCTTCACATTGGATATATCTGAGGAATAAAACAGCACCTGAATGTGTTACGATGGCTTTTAACTCTCAGTTCAGATGTGCAAGCTGCACCTGTGCAAAATGACTTTACTTTGCATTACATAATTGATTTACTGAAAGAGTCTGTCTGTCGATAATTCAAGTAGTAAGTAAACACTGCATAGTCTGAGGTAAAATGTAATTTACGAAGCAAATTTACTGGTGGTTCACCTTTAGTTGTCCAACAGAAGTTGTAGCTCAGATTTGTGTTTTGTTGTTGTTATTTTAAGTCATACTTCTGTGTTTTCGAACAAGCAAGTTATATTCTTAAAAACTTTTATGGTAATGGCATTGAGTTTTTATATACTGCCTCACAACAAAGTTCTTATATCACACAGTTGCAGCTGAACAACTGTGTAATATGAGGAAGCAATAACAATGATTGATGGAGCAACTGTGCATCTTGCACTAAAAACAAAATTGTCTTAGGCAAATTTACAAAAGACACATTGCAGACGCTTTTTGCTTTCTAACACCTAAAGCACTGAAATGAGAGAACTTTTCCTGGATTTTATCATAAGATATAAATCTAAAACACTTCACCTGAATGAATTTGAACTGCTTTATGTTGGGATTGCAAATTTCTTTCACAATGTTTAAGTGGTGAGTACAAATTTTATTTAATTCAAATTCAAAAATATTTGATTAATCCCAAAGGGAAATTAAATGTTGTAGCTCATATTAATTCAAAATTATTCAAAGAGTTGCTGTAGATATTGATGGCTCTGGGCAGGAATGAAATGAATTAATTCAATTCTAACTTCTATGGACTAAACTCAGAAGTAGTTCTTGTTAAGAGTGCTTTTATATAATAAAACTGCTACTATACAGCTGTAACTATATTAGAATACTATGTTGACATAAGCAGAAGATTGTGAATTATTATGAAATGATGAAAATAATTGTTGCATTCCAGAAAAAATTAATAAGTCTCATCAAACGTGAATTAAAAATTGATGACTTGTTTTATGCCCATTCATGAAAACATGTTACACATTATTTCAGAATATGTTACTCATGCTGAAATAATGGTTCTTTGCAACAAACAAAAATATTAGATCCTAACATTCTGATGTCTTATTCATGGCTCTGATATTTTTTGCTGTTGATGTGAACCTTTATCTGCTGGAAGGATAGATTTTTTTTCACATTCAAAAAATATGACTGTGAGGTTGATCGGTCTCTAAATTGCATATGGCTGTGACGGCATGTGTGTGTACATAATTTTTAGCCAATATGTCTGTGTGTTGTCCTAAATTAGTCTGTGGAACCTTCTGTGGACATATACAATAGACGACTGTATAAGTAATTGCATCTTTTGTAAAGTAAAAAAGAGAAAACAATTTTGTATGTTATTCTTTTCCAACATGCTCTTTGGTAGTCTTAGATAATATGTTATAAATGAGCAACTTCAGTTAATCTATTCTGTTAACTTCATGACAGTTTTCCCCTTTAAATGTCAGACTGATCTGTCATTCAAAAATAAATCAGACTTTCTTTTTTATTCGGCTGCTTTTACTCAAAGCTGAGTATCGTTTCTCTTGAACTGTCTACCAATGTTTGCTCATGCTACATAGAAAAATCAATGCAGATGGTATAGTTTCTGATAGTATTCCTATTATGTCATCAATACTAGCAGCAAACTTTTAGTGAAGAATTGTTTGGAATACAACTTTTGCTGACTCTATTTTCCAGTTGTCATGAATGCACACGTTGCATGCCTATATGATATTTAGCCTCTTGGAGACTCACTAAAGTAAAATGGACAATAGTTGGTCATGATGCCAAAGGGCACAAGAGAGTTTGAAACAATGTGATCTCCATTAAATTTTTGAATCCAGCTCGACTCTTAAGTACATATGAGCTACAGGCTGGGCTGAAGTGGCCATGTGTGTGGAGAGCTGGAGAAAGCTGTTTTTAGGAATTACAGCTAGAATTAAAACTGTCTGACTAAGCATAAACTGAAATGCAAGAGCTTCCACAGCTTTTTCCTTTTATGACAAGGGTTCTTCTAAAGTATAATCATTCATTGGGTCATAAAATAAATTCAGCAGTCACTATGGCATGTCACCTTTTTGCAATAAAAGTTTATCATCAAATAAAAATGTGAAATAATTGAGTTCACTGAGCCTCAACAATAGATAGTTACTCACAAGGTCCTTTGAAACTGCTTGAACTTATTCATTGGATAAAAAACTTAACACAGTATGACGTGTCGGACCCAACAGTGCTGTTTCTGAATCAACAAAGGCCTGAATCAGTTCTTATCTAATAAAGGACTGAGTCAGCAAAATAACAGTTATTGGATTGTTG